TAATGATAACAATGTCCAGCATTTAAATAGTATGTCTTAAACATCTGAGGCACTTCATATGCTTGAGGGACTGAGGATAAAATGTATTTTTCGATGGTCAACGTGTGTCTAGAACAACCGTCTACCACTTCTTTGCTGCAGACTTAGAGAGGCTGTAGGTCACCAAAGTTCATTGGGAATAAGTATTTATGTCATTTATTTACCTTATTGAATGTACCAATACACTTAACCCGATCGTCATAGGCCAATGTGTACTCATAATCAAAATAAATAAAAGCAGCAGAAGCAACAAAACAGATAGGATCAGTCAACTGAAATGCCAAAAGGATGGAGCTGGTGCCCACATAATTACAGTGTTGGTGCCAGTCAGACTTCAATAAGGAGGGCATTCCATAGTTGCGATGCCAAGACTGTGAAATCTGAATTGAGCTTCAAAGCGAATAGGTAATCAATGTTCTTTCACTGATGGTGTGATATACAAGGGTTGAATGAAAAGTAATGCCTCCACCTTCGCAACTCCTCATTTATTGAATATCAAGAACCCATGAGAAAAGCCTTGGGCGAAGAACATAACATAGGAAGGCCCTTCCGACAGTAAAAAATGTGAATCTACGAGGGTTGAATGAAAAGTAATGCCCGCACCTTCATAACTCCTCAACAGATAGCAGTACTGGTATGCAGCAGGTACTGGCTTGTTCAGTAGACTCTCCTCTACAGTTTCATTTTGGCAGGAAGCCTTAGCATTGAGCAGTTGTGTTGATAAAGTGCGAAGTATGGAACCCTGCCCAGATGGTTGGTCAATGTGACTTAAGCAACGTGCAGTCATTGAATTCTTGACTGCAAAAGGTGTCACACAAAAGGAGATTCATCAGAGAATGCAAGCTGTTTATGGTGATTGTGTTGATGTGAGTAGTGTGCGTCGTTGGGCGAGTAAGTTTAAAGATGTTGAGGTGGAAACATCTGACTTGCGTGACTAACACAGAGTTGGACGTCCTGGCACAGCAACCACCGAGTTACACAAGTAGAAGGTTGACAGATCGAGTAAGTTTAACGATGTTGAGGTGGAAACATCTGACTTGCGTGACTAACACAGAGTTGGACGTCCTGACACAGTAACCACCGAGTTACACAAGTAGAAGGTTGACAGATCGATTCAAGACAATCGTCATATTACTCAGGGAGAAATTTCAAGCATAATCTCCATTTCACATGAATGTGTGGGTCACATTATTGCTTTGCTTGGCTATCGGAAGATCTGTGCACGATGGGTTGCGGAAACAGAGTGACGACTTCTTCTGTGACAGCTTCAGAAAACTTATTCATTGTTGGCAGAAATGTATCCCATTGTCTGGTGATTATGTGGAAAAGTCAATAGTGGTAGTCAAAAAGCATATTCTAAGGATTATTTCTGCGTTTGATTTATTAAAATATTCCCATCCAAACCCAAGTAACGAAGGTAGAGGCATTACTTTTTATTCAACCCGTGCTGGAAGAAGCTAAGACCACCAGCATTGAAGTGATCCTACTACACCATGAACTCCGCTGGACTGAATACCACATTGTCCGAAAACCTGATCACCATCTCCCAAAGCAGTCACTATACTCCCAAATCAAGAATGGAAAATGGAATGTTGGTGGACAGGAGATTGAAAGAAGGCTGAAAGCTAACCTTAAAAGCTATGACACAGACATAGAGAGATAACTGGGAAGCCCTGGGCCTTCAGCTCTCTAACTAGAGGTCAGCTGTGACCAGCAGTGCTGTGGAATTCGAAGAGGCACGAACAGAGGGAGAAAGGGAGAAATGTGCCCTGATTGAGACCTCCTTCCACCCGGAAACCGATGCCCTTACTGTGGAAGAACATGTGGGTCAAGAATAGGACTCCACAGTCACCTACGTATCCACCATCAAGACACAACACTTGGAAGGCCATCATACTTGACTATGAGGGATCGCCTAAGTAAATAAGAAAGTAAGAATCATAGCGTTGGAAGAGACCTCTATATTATAGAGTTCCTTCTTCTATAACAGAGTCTACCATACTTGGTATTTTTGGTGGTGTTTTTGTTGCCCTAAACAGGGCTGACCTTGCTTCGCTCCCACAGTCACTTGAGATTTGGTGCCTTTTAGCCACATCCAACACATTACGGCAGTCCAAACAGGGGATGACCAGAAGATAAACTACTGTGCTCAGCCATTCTTGTCCAAGCCACTAGACAACGCTTGTAAAAGGCCTCCTTAGCCATAAAATCACTTGAGTCACAAGGGACAGTGAAAGAGCACGAATCCTAGCTTTGGAAGCCTCAAAAATCCATACCGCTCACACTACAATTTACACAAGCAATTCACAGGACCAGGCACTGTCAATACACTGCTTTTCTCACTGCCGAAGTAGATGTACTTTTGTTATAGGCAGAGGCTAAAAACACAACGTGCAATTACATGAAGGCTCAAAATGATAGGATACCCTTGGCAACCTCAACTGCCAATTTGGCACCATTGCCAGACATCTTCAAGATGTAGCGGGGAGAGTTATAAAACCAACACTCTCGCTTCTTGCCAAATGGGATGCCAACCCGGCTAGTTTTAAAGCGGCTCAGACAAACACACACATTAACACACCACATGCACAAACGTATGTGCATATAATGATATAATATAATATAACATATTATATATACATATAATATTTATATATTATAATGTAATACAATATAATACTACTAATACAATATTACAATACTAAAATGTGATATTATAATTATATATTTTATATTACATGTAATATTACTAATAATACTACAATATAATGGTATAGTACAATATAGTAATATATAATACTGATATTGTACTATGCTAATAATATAATATATTGTATGTATATATATCTTGTAAGCCACTCTGAGTCCCCTTCGGGGTGGCATATGTCATAAATAAATATATGTATATCTTTCCATAACTATACAGTATCTCAATGGAACCATACAATCAAGCTCTCTGGTTGAAAATACCTACAAGCTACCATGAAAACATATAAGAGGGAAACATTCAGTGGTGCTCGATACTATCTGTTTCTCTGGAAAGGTAAAAGGGAAATCACTACTGACTCAAAACTGAATTCTCACTGATTTAAACAGGGACAAGCATAGGTTTGCAACTTATGATCATTACTCCAAAGGTTTCTCTGAGGCATTTGAAAGTGTGTTTATCTGCTTCCTGATTGCAATAAGATATGCTGCAATGTGTATGCTCCACTCAAGGCGTATTATTATTATTATTATTATTGCAATTATATGTGTGTGTGTGTGTGTGTGTGTGTGTGTATAATTTATTGATTGCAATAATCATGTGGGGTACAAAACCGCTCTGAGATGGGTTGTTTTTTGGGCTGTCTGGCCATTTTCTAGAAGCATTTTCTCCTGATGTTTCACCCACATCTACAGCAGGCATTCTCAGAGATTGTGAGATCTGTTGGAAACTAGGCAAGTGAGGTTTATATATCTCTGGAATGCCCAGGGTGGGAGAAAGAATTCTTGTCTGTTGGATGGAGATGTGAATGTTTCAATTGGCCACCTTGATTAGCATTGAATGGCCTAGCAGTTTCAAGGTGTAGCTTCTTACTGCCTGGGGGAATCCTTTGTTGAGAGATGATGAGCTGTCCCTGATTGTTTCTTGTCTGGAGTTCCCCTGTTTTTGAGTGTTCTTTATTTACTGTTATGATTTTAGAGTTTTTAATATTTATTTTATTTTTTTAGGCCATTTATATCCGGCCCTATCTCACCTCCACAGAGGGACTTGGAGCAGCTAACAGGCGGCACATACTGGTAGCCAGATTTTGTACCCCATTTCCTAGTTTCCAACAGCCCTCACAACCTCTGAGGATGCCTACCATAGATGAAGGCAAAACCTTGATGTTTCGCCCACAGCTATGGCAGGCATCCTCACAGGTTGTGAGGTCTGTTAGAAACTAGGCAAGTGGGGTTAACATACCTGTGGAATGATGTCCAGGGTGGGGGAAAGAACTCTTATCTGTTTGAGGCAAGTGTGAATGTTGCAATTGGCCACCTTGATTAGCACTGAATGGCCTTGCAACTTCAGAGCCTGGCTGCTTCCTATCTGGGGGAATCCTTTATTGGGAGGTGTTAACTGACCATCAGGGTGGCCAATTGCAACATTCACACTTGCCTCAGATAAGAGTCTAAAATCAGGAGAGTAAATAAAGAACAACAGTCAGAAAAGAGGGGAATTCCACACAAGAAACAATCAGGGCTGGCTAATACCTCCCAACAAAGGATTTCCCTAGGTAGGAAGCAGCCAGGCTTTGAAGCTGCAAGGCCATTCAGTGCTAATCAATGTGGCCAACTTTTCACACTTGCCTCCAACAGACAAGAGTTCTTTCTCCCACCCTGGACATCATTCCACAGATATATAAACCCCACTTGCCTAGTTTCCAACAGACCTCACAGCCACTGAGGATGCCTGCCATAGATGAAGGCAAAACGTCAGGAGAGAATGCTTCTGGAACATGGCCACACAGCCCAGAAAACACACAACAACCCACTGAAAAATCAGTGCCATGAAAGCCTTCGACAATACACTCTGAAATGTATTTCTATTAGCCAATGACAGCAATGTCACCCAATGTCCTCCAACTAACAGATGCCACAGCCCTGTTTTCCACGCCAGCCATGTTGCTTGACATATCACCGTCTTGACATTTCCGTCACTGTACAATGTGCGAGTCCAACCAAACTCAAAAATTATTTCACAAATGGTTGGTTCTCGGACTTTGAGCGAGTGCAGCCGTACTTTATTATCATGTTAAAATACACACACACCCTCTCACACCCGCATGCAGCCTGTTAGAAAAACACACAAATCCATCCCTAAGTGGACTTCCACTGACTTGACTGCAAGACAAGCAATTTCCAAGGACACCCACGTAGATCCTTCCCGTTGCCAAGTTAGAGAAAAGCCCCGTGCGGTTTCTTGCTCAACTCACTTTGGCTTCGGTCTCTCCGCGGTGTAACGTGTACAAGTGATGGACGGCACTCTGCGAAGATGACCACGGGTGGGTGAGGATTTGGAAGACGTGGAAATCGTGGCCCAAGGTATCTGCTGTGACCAGAAGCATGCCTGCACAAAATGAAACCACGGGGAGAAGTTAAAACATATATGCACCAAGAATTAGCAGACACCAATTTTTTTCATGAACTCTGGTTTGAACAACTAATTTGGGAGAGTGTCATTTAACACGTGGTAAAGAACTTGTATAACTTGTATGCTACAGTGTAATAAGGGTCTCTGGACCATAATAAAATTTATCTATCTATCTAGGATGTTGCAACCAAGAAGCCGCCCCCCCCCCCCAGATCCTGGACAAGTGCCTGGCAGCTGTGATGAATTGGATGACGGCTACCAAGGTGAAGCTTAATCCAGACAACACAGAGGTCCTCCTGGTCAATTACAAGGCCGATTGGAGTCTAGGGTGGCATAGACACATAGAATTGGGAAGCCCTGGCCCTTTAGCAATCTAGCTGGAGGTCAGCTGTGACCAGCAGTGCTGTAGATTTTGAAGAGGCATAAATAGAGGGTGAAAGAGAGAAACGTGCCAAGCAGAAGGCACGTCAAGCCAACTGGAACCAACTCCCACCTGGAAACCAATGTCCTCACTGCAGGAGAACATGAAGGTTGTGCTGGTACGCCTGTACCAGGAGCTCCAACTTTATTTTCTTACTCAAGCAACGAGGTATCGCCTAAGTAAGTAAGTAAGTAAGTAAGTAAGTAAGGGTGGCAACTTGTGCTCGACGGGGTCCCACTCCCACTGAGGACACAGGTCTGGGAGTCCTCCTGGACTCAGCACTGATGCTTGAAGCTCAGGTATCAGCTATGGCTGGGAAGGCCTTCACACAGTTAAAGTTTGTGCACCAGTTGTGAACATATCTCAAGAAGTCGGACTTGACCATGGTGGTCCACACCTTGGTTATATCCACATTGGATTATTGCAATGCACTCTAAGTAGGACTGCCTTTGAAGAAGACCCAGAAACTCCAACTTGCGGCTGCTAACTGGAACTAGCTATCGGGAGGACATGATGCCCCTACTAAAGAAGCTCCATTGGCTGCCGAAAAGTTTCCGGTCCCAATTCAAAGTGCTAGTCTATATAAATAAAAATGTAATGTTCGTTTGTGGGATTAACAGAACTCAAAAACCATTGGACGAATTGACACCAAATTTGGCCACAAGAAACCTACTAACCCAAGGAGTGACCATCACTAAAAATAACGATTTTGTCATTTGGGAGTTGTAGTTTCTGGGATTTATATTTCACCTATAAGCAAAGAGCATTCCGAACTCCACCAATGATGGAATTGAACCAAACGGCACACAGGACTCCCATGACCAACAGAAAATACTGGAAGGGTTTGGTGGGCATTGACCTTGAGTTTGGGATTGTAGTTCACCTCCATCCAGAGAGCACTGTGGACTCAAACAATGATGGATCTGGACCAAACTTGGCACAAATATTCCACATGCCCAAATATGAACACAGATGGAGTTTGGGGAAATAGACCTTGACATTTGGGAGTTGTAGTTGCTGGGATTTATAGTTCTCCTACAATCAAAGAGCATTCTGAACCCCACCAACAACAGAATTGGGGCAAAGGTCCCACACAGAACTCCCATGACCAATAGAAAATACTTAAGGCCATCCAGTCCAACTCCCTTCACCAAGCCCTCCTGACAAAGAGCCATCCAGCCATAGATATAGATAGACAGATATGATATATACACACACACACACACAAGGATATAGTACCATAGGTTTGAAAGGGGCCCCTAAAGAAGGGCAATGATATGTTGTATGTTCCAGAGTAGGCAAAACAGACAATCTTCCAATCAACACTGACAAAGAAACAACAAGAAATACCGTTTGCCCACAAGCAAAAAGAAATAACAAGAGTGGTCCACGCTCTTGTCACATCCCGTTTGGATTACTGCAATGCACTCTACGTGGGGTTGCCTTTGAAGACTGCTTGGAAACTCCAACTAGTCCAGCGAGAGGCAGCCAGATTGCTCACCGGAGCGGCATACAGGGAGCATACCACCCCCCTGTTGCGTCAGCTCCACTGGCTGCCGATCCAATTCCGAGCACAATTCAAAGTGCTGGTTTTGACCTACAAAACCCTATACGGTTCCGGCCCAGTGTATTTGTCCGAACGGATCTCCCTCTACATCCCACCTCGAAGTTTAAGATCTTCTGGGGAGGCCCTGCTCTCGACCCCGCCAGTGGCACAAGTGAGGCTGGCGGGGACGAGGAGCAGGGCCTTCTCAGTGGTGGCCCCTCACCTGTGGAACTCACTCCCCGGGGAGATCAGATCGACGACTTCCCTTCTAGCGTTTAGGAAAAAACTAAAGACCTGGATGTGGGACCAAGCTTTTGGCCATGCTGACAACTAACTAAAGGACCTGTCGATAGACAAGGACAATGGAATGGAATGGATATATGGACTCTGATATATGGACTCTGACATGAGATAGTTTTTATGGTTTTATTAGGTATTGATGTTTTATTTTAATTGTTGAATTGTTATATTTTGTATTGTTTGTTGTGTGTTTTGGGCATCTAATTGTGCCTTTCCTGTAAGCCGCCCTGAGTCCCCCTCGGGGTGAGAAGGGCGGGGTATAAGTAGATGAAATAAATAAATATATTAAAAACCAACACTTTCTCATTACTTTATTTTCCAGATCACGAGACTGGGCCACAGCAATGCGTGGCAGGAAACGGCTAGTTATCTATATAAATAAAATGTAATGTTTGTTTGTGGGGTTAACATAATTCAAAAACCACTGGACAAATTGACATGAAATTTGGACAAAACATCGATCAGGCCAACGAGTGACCATCACTCAAAAAGAACATGGAAAAACAGAGTAGAAGGGACTTTAAAAGCCAAAAAAGCAAAAAGACGTTACAGCGCATGCGCAAAAACGACCCCCTGGCAAACAAAACACATAATAGCATATCCACACTCTCTTCCAGACTACAATTCCCAGCATCCCCTAGATCAGGCCCTTTAGGAGAGGAGGATGATCCAAATGCACTGTTTCCAAGCTGCAAGCCTTCTTCTCCTTGGATTTCTTTGAAAGCACCCCAATCCCTGCATATTTCCAATTTCCTATTCGTGGACTGCAACTCCCAGCAATCCTCCAGATAGATAAGATAGATAGATTAGATAGGTAGGTAGGTAGGTAGATATATTGATCAGGAGGACTGCTGGGAGTTGCAGTCCAAGAATAGATAGAGAAGGAAGAAAGGGGAAGGGAAAGAAAAGGGGGAGGGAGGAAGGAAGAGAGGAAAGGAAAAAGGAGAAGGGAAGGAAGAGAAGGAAGGGAGAATGAAAGGAGGAGAGAAAAATGGAGGAAAGGTTGGCCACAGCAAAGCGTGGTGGGTACAGCTAGTCACCTATAAAGGCCTAAATGGTTTGGGTACTAACTATCTTTGTGACTGCATCCTCTGCTATGAACTGGCACAGGCTCTAAAATCTGCTGGGGAGGCCCTGCTCTCGGTCCCGCCACAGTCTCAAGTGTCGTTGGTGGGGACGAGGGAGAGGGCCTTCTCGGTGGTGGCTTTGGAACACTCTCCCCAGGGAGATCAGGCAGGCCCCCCACAGTAAATCATATAATACAGACAGTAAACACATATTGCTTAACAGGGCCATAGCCAGAAATTTTTTTTTGGGAGGGGTTGAAATTTTCGTGGGGGGGGGGGGTGTTGAAACCTGCCTCCTACCTCACGCTGAAGCAAAGAGCACAGCAGAGCAGAGCAGCCTTCAATAGCCTGCAGCTCCGCCCCTGTCAACCACCTCCACCAAGTCTGGCCTCCTTAATGAGAGCATTCAACACACACACACACAACTTGGTTGCTTCACTACATCGGCTATTGCTGCAAGTAATGACAGTGTGAATAAATTGTCAATATTTGCTTGAGATAGTGCTTCCAGTTCTGGAGGGACTCTTAATTTTTTGCTTCTCATAGACTTAGCATGGGGATTTGGTTAACCAGTTAAAATTCATGAGTAAACCAGTTTTTTTTAACCTGAAAATTTGGGGGGGGGTTGAACCCCAACCCCCCCCCCTCGCTACATTGACCGAGATATAAGGTAAAGATAAAGGTTTTCCCCTGACATCAAGTCCAGTCGTGTCCAACTCTGGGGGTTGGTGCTCATCTCCATTTCTAAGCTGAAGAGCCAGCATTGTCCATAGACACCTCCAAGGTCATGTGGCCATCCTGACTGCATGGAGTATAATTACCTTCCCACCAGAGGAGTACCTATTGATTTACTCACATTTGCATATTTTTGAACTGCTAGGTTGGCAGAAGCTGGGGCTAACAGTGGGAGCTCATGCCACTCCCTGGATTTGAACCTACGACCTTTCGGTCAGCAAGTTCAGCAGCTCAGCAGTTTAACCCACTGTGCCACCGGCTCCACTTTTTGCCCTCTAAGAGCAGTAAAAATATAAACACCAATTCAAACAGCCAATTCCTATGGTCAGGCTATCCAGCAATTGTGAATTATACGAATAGTTCTAGCAGCCATTCAAAGTCCTGTCCGCTAAGATGATTGATGTTCTTAGCCATATACAAAAGGATAAACGGAACTTTCATGGGAACAAGTTGGCATAAGACTGAATGTTGAAAAAGTTACATTTCTTAGCATATCCCTCTGAGAATGCCTCAGGGATCTTGATGGCTATAGCATTCTGGGAGCTAAAGTGTAAAATACCAAATCTGTGGACCTCTGAGTAAGGAAGAAACTGGGATTGTGTTCACAGAGTTATCTCCCCAGAGGTGCTTCGGATTGCAGCTTCACACACCAATTATATGATTTTTATGATTTTACGGCTCACATACCTAACTTTTATTTTCCTTTTAAGAGGGAAAGTTTTCAAAACACACACTTCCAAAATTGATGGGGTGAAGTGCAGAAAAGTACGTCCTGTGCAAAAGTTCTGCACGCACATGTGAGACTGGCTTCTGTCAGGAATTCTGGACTTTCCATGGCAAAAAAAAAAACCTGGGAAATCTTTAGGGGCGATGGATCTGCGAGAATCACGTCGAACCTCAAATGGAA